GAAACGAATGCTTCAGGGTTTCGGTTGCTGGTAATGAGAAAACAGTCGTTTTCTTACTGGTCACGGATCGCCCACAACGAAATGCTCGTTTTGCCACTACCCCAGTTTTTGATGAGAGGGGGGGGGGGTTATGGATTGCGACATTTGGCACTTGGAACACCTTGATAATGATGGTGACAACTCACGATTTTTCTTATACGTGGGATTGATTGCCCATGAAGTCATGATTCTGTTCCAGAGGAGACTGTGTCTATTTTTGGACCCAGCAGAGATTCTTATGTGTGCGTGAGAGTTTTTGGGTTTGAATTTAATTTTCAAAAATGGCTGCAGGCGAGGAGATCTTCAGCTTACGAAATGTTATGCGAAATATATTGTAAAATATATTGATAACTGTTTACCCTTCAGAGCAGGTTGAAAAAGACAGCAAGAACTTACTTCTTCTGAGCTGAGGTCATGAATATTTACTCTTCTGCGGCAAAGTTTGCCTTTTTTGTGCAGATTTTAGGTGCAATCAAGAACAGCATTGGGAAAAAACCATGACAATGATGCGCAGGGCAAAGTTGGGAAAAATCCTGGCCTTTTTTAAATTTTCCACGGAAAAATTTTACTCAAAAAATAAAAAATAAAAATCTTGTATGCAGATTTTGTGCTGCATTATTACAAACATTCCAGGTGCAAGAGACATCAGAGTGCTGAGGCAGTTACCCAGCCTCCAAGGGAATTTAATTTTTAAAATGCAAAACTAACCGAAGCTGGAGCATCCTGACTCCTTGAATGTTAACCCTTGGACAGCAGAAGGTTCTTTCTCACTGCGCGGTGGAGTCAGGATTTTTCCAGGGGGCAGCACATTTCAATTTGACCCAAGGTTACTGAAATGTGCCCAGGTTGATGAGGCCCAAGTCAGGAAAAATCCAGGAGGCAAATTTTCTTTTGTTTCCAAGATTTTCCCAAGCAAATCCTATGCAAGGAATGCAGGAAAAAATGCCACCCATGCAGTGAGGGATTTTTTAGAAAAATTTTTGTTGAAAATTTTCTGCGGGGTTAAAAAAAAAACGTTGGACTTTTTCCCAACTTAGCCCTTGGTCAAAAAAAAAAGGTTTTTTTTCATTCCCAGTGCCCAGTGGCACAAAATTTTGCAAAAAGATCCTGACTTTGCTGCACGAGGGTTAAAGCGGCAGATTTGCGGTTTTTTGGGGGAGAGGCACTGTATTTTAGTTTGACCCAAATAAGTCACTGAAATGCTACCAGGTTGAGAAAGCCCAAGTCAGAAAAATCAAGGAGGCAAATTCTCCATCATTTTTGGGGATCTCCCATGCAAATCCTATGCAAGGAAGGCATCTGGAGAAAATACCACCCAGGGAGGGATTTTTTCCTTTTTCATTCCAAATCTTCTATAATACAATATTTTTTTTATAACAAACTTTTTCCCAACTTAGGCCTTGGAACAAAAGTAGGATTTTTATATTTACAGAGGGGCAAGATATTTTCAAAAATACCCCAAATTTGCTTCACGAGAGTTTTAATTGGAGCTATAAAAAAGGATGTATGCATGCAGTTGAGACTGTTACTAGCCAGATCAGGAAATACTGTACACAGTGTACAGTAATTTCAATGAATAACAGCAGATGAGTAAAAGCACCATGCATACAGAGACCATCATCTCTTTGGTGAATATCTTAGAAGCATGACTTTTGATGATCAACAAGTGTGAGAAGACAGGAAGTTATAGTTGACAAGGCTTCTGAAAAACCTACTCATGTTTTTGAGAATTGGGCACTGGCTGCAGGTGAGAAAAATATGAGATAATCCAGAATCTTCAAGGTTTCCACCCTCAAAAAAAAAATTACTGGCAATTGTTCAAATAAGAGGCAGGAATAATGGGGAGCCATCTTCAGGTGATTCCATCAAGAGAGTATAGGAGGATATGTATAAAGACAGAACATCTCCAAGCCATCAGGAATTTTAATTCATTCAATCATTCAGAGTAACAACCTGTCTCTCATCTTGAATTCGATTCATGCAATCCTTTTGAATCTGGCTTCTGCATATATTGATTATCACATTGAATATTTAAATGAGGCTGAAGAAGTTGTTCACCCTGGATCATCTTGTGGTCCTTTTTGTGATCCTTGTGAGATATCCATTCATGGGGTGTTGGTCCAATTAATTTCTATGACATACTTGGGTATACTTTGGTCCGCTGCTGAATATATTTTGACTGTGATGTCTTTAATCTCTTCATTGTGAATGTTTAATTTATGGTAGTTCTGAAATAATTTACCTTGAATTGTTCTGCCATATTTTTATTTGAAATATTTAAGAAGAGAAATATAAGGAATTGGGGGAAGGCAAAATAGCCCTTGAATACAAAACTCGGAAATAAGAAAAAATAAATTGTAAATTACTGTAATATAATAGGTTACAGTGAAAGGAAATTGAATTTGAGAATATTTTTAAAATGATGCTCTTGGTCTCATCTATATATATATATATATATACGTATATATACAGATACTACATTGAAGATCAGTTTTTGCTGAAAAAGTGGCATATAAATGAAGTGTTGTATGCAATTTTCAAAAATATAATAGGAGCATTCTGATACCAGTCCCACAACTGATTCTCCTTCAATTTGGCCATCCATCAATTTGACAGCCAAATTTGCAGGGAGGTTGACTTACAATTTAACCTCTGCCCCAGAATTTAACCTGCTTTGGCCTCTTTTTTGCATTTTTGTGCTCATATTTCTTAATTTTGCAATGTGTCTTGCAATCTGACTGCTTTGCAATTTGACCATAGTCCAGCAACCATAAGGCTTGAATTGCAAGGTACCACATGTACAGTACTATGCAATAAACATATACGTTTTTTCTGATGACTGTTGGAAGTGTTTGTGACAATACCTGCAAAAATATGAATTTAGATAGCTGAGACATACTTTTATTGCAAACAATTTTCCTACGGCTTTTTCAAACTTTTTTCATCTGTTACAGGTTCTGATTCATTCTCAAAATCAAGCTGAATAACTTAAATCTATATACTGTACTTTGCACTGAACACACACAGTTTCTTTGTTTTGACAATTTCCAACCAAATTTGAGATTTCTGAAAATATCAGACTGAATGACAAGAATTCATCTCAACATATATTGATGTTCTGTGTTTTTTTTTCAAATTCCAAAATTACAGCTATTATGCAACCAAAATCTGATTCTATACAATGAGCAAATTTTATGGAAAGGACTGCAAATGCTTCAAAATTTTATGATTTATATTCTTTCAACAATTTCAATATTTGAAATTAGCTTTGTTGAATACTTTCCATTGTAATACTTGCGTGCTACAGTTTTTTCTATGCAAGGTGTTATGCATAGCAATTTGGGTAATTTTCTTTGATCATATGAAAACATTTTGTGTTGTTTACCTCTGCCAATATTTAGAAAAATGATAAAGGATGTTCTGATTTTATTTCATGTGTATTGCAGTGTATTACAAATTACAATGGATCAAGAGGGAATGAAAGCAAGGAAATGCTTCTACATAAAATAGTCCTTGTCTAAAAATGCCCCATAATTCTCTCTGTCTCCAAATATACCTGTCTCAAGCTGTTCTTGTCTCCAAAAGTTTATGTCTCAAATTGTCCGTGTCTCCAAAGGTTTCTGTCTCCATTTTTCCTAGAACCCTCTAACCCATCTTTAAAGAATTGCTCAAAGGAATTTCTGGAATTTGGAATTTTTCTTATTTTCACATTTTTTTTCTTGCCTATAATTTCAGTTTTTTTCAGGCTTTGAGAGTGCAAAAAAGTCTGGAAAGCATTCATTCCAAAACGTGATACCTTCATTTGTGAATGTTATTATTTTCATTGAAAAAAAGAAACACAAAAATGAACCTCGCATTTTCTTTGAAGAAACTGTGCTTGGTTATGTTTTCTGCTACAACAACAGCAACAAAATCACCAAGACCGAAATAAGATGGATTCATGTTGTATACATGTATATGCGCCAAATTCTTCAAATCATGCCCTCCGAATTCATCGCGTGGTCCAGAAAGCCACCCACTGCATTAATTTTTTTATAGGTGCACAAATGAACGAAATTTCACATGCATTCCAAGCCCAGTAGGTTCTACATGTTCTACCGTAATAGGAACCGAGGTCCAGTCAGGTCTCATCATCGCCTGCAGCAGCAGCAGCAGCATCAGCAGCAGCAGGCTCCTCCCCTCAGCACCAGAGCCAACAGCCGTCAGCCAATAAGGAACGCCCACTTCATCTCCGACTTTGGATCCGCCTTCCGCAGATCTCCAACCCACTTCACGTCCGAAGGCGAATTCTTCCTTGACTCTCCCCAAACTATTTCTCATCCAGCCCATCATCACGTGCATCGAAATTTCGATTACTATGACAATGATGAAGAAGAAGAAGAGGAAGAAGAACTGCATCCAGAAGAGATAGACTATGATGATTCGCAGTCGACTGTGTTAGTGTCGAGGAACCACGACAGCGTCAGGGATGTCGATGTCGAGAAGGAATTCGTGGCGCCGCGTCGCGTCACGCACGGCCTCGGATCTCTGGCTGATTTCGGACCCACTTTCAGTTCATCAAGGTCTGCTTGATAAAAAAAAAAAAACCCTCAAGGATATAATGAGGGGAAGAAAATAACCCAAAGTGTTCGGGTTATCACTTCACAGTTGACACCCGTCAGCGCTGGAAACTCACATCGTTTGGTGCTTTTTTGTACATTTTGACAAAAAATATGTGTATTTACATATACAGATGGAATCCTGGGCATCATAACCGACGACGACTCGGAATTTGTACAAAGAAAAAATGCCAGAAATGGCACGATTTTCGACTTACAAGTGTTACATATAACATCATGAAGAAAAATGTGATGCCAAAATTACTGTGTATATTTGATCATCCAAAAAAACCGCTTGATGATCTCATGAAAACCACGAATCGAACTCAAGCAGTTTTATAGTCAGCAAAAATTTTAAAAATTGAAAAATACGGCGATATTTCAACTCATTCATTCTTCAGTTTTCTTTCTAAAAAAACCGAATATTTTCAGAAAGGACTTCTTAAAAATGTAATATCATTCAAGAAACGTTTTCCAAAATTACATGTGTTAATCAAAATAAATATGATGATCTTCGCGAACTAACTGTGCGATTATATAAGAATTTTACTCAAGTGAATATATTTAGGAAAAAATATTGAAAAATCTCGAAGAAAAGTTTATGCGTGAATTTTCTTTTTCGAAAAAAAAACCGACGGAAAATGTTTTCCCAAATTATTAAATATTCTGCAAGAAACATTTTCCAAAATTATGTCTTTAGAAAAATGTCTATAAAGCGGATCGCAGTTATTTTTGTATACAGTATATTTATCTCGGATTCTCGGAAAATAATTTTTTGAGAAGAATGAGAACGTGCATTTAAAAAATTTAAATATCCAAAATATAGTTCCAAACAAATCTACACGCGAAAAAAATTGTTGAAATCTCATAGGACATTTTCTCCGATTTTTTTATGAATTTTCGAGTATCTTCACGCAAGAATAAATTGAATAAGTGTTCGAAAAACTTTTGCTTCAAAAGACGCATGCTTGACGACTTTTGTAAATTGCTTTGACTCATGAATATTTATAAACAAATGCGGTCATTGCACTGGTAAGTATGAATAATAAACCTGTCAACATTCCAAAAACCGTGTATAAATCGCGTTGAAAAATAATTCTGCTGATTTGTTCATACTGTATAATTATTTCGCTGATGACGTGAAGTGTACAAAGTATATGTTTTGTCCCGGAATAAAAAAAAAATAACGCGGCGTTTTGTGTTTTCGAAAAGGTGATTGATATTGGTTGATGTTTTCACATTTGACTTAACATAATCAATGATTTCACGTTATTGTACAGAACTTTTTCGCTCGAAAAGAAGAAATTATTTTTTATCAGAAATTCTTTCAATTCATTCTCTTTTTCTCCTCCGCAGGAAAGCGTTGAAGACCCAGCAATTCGGGTTCGGCCCCAAACAAAACTTCAAGCACACCAAGAAACACTCGCGAATTATTTTCCCGGACTCGGAAACCTTCAACAGACTAAACCCGTCGATCCCAGCCTTCACACCCATCGGAAAACCCGGCGTTGTCAAAGTATCGCCTCAAGAACGAATTCCGGAAATAATCCGGTCCAAACCAGTGCAAATCGTTGACCAAACCGAAGCAGCAAAAAATGCCAAAATCAACGAACTTCACTCGAAAATCCTGGGCTTCTCCAAGCCTTCCTCGAAAAAAGATCCCCCTGAAATTATTCCATCTGTTATCCCAGCAAAAACGACAACAGAAATTCCTCCTGCAGCAGAAGAAGCCACAACAACAATCAAACCCGTTTTTATCAAAATGGAGAAAGAACTCAAGAAAATGCACATTCCTTCCGAACTCGTCATGAAGGTGATGGAAAGTGTCGTGGCTGCTCAAATCCCGGAAGAAACTCTTCCGGAAATCCTCCAGAAAGATTCCGACGTTGACGTTTTGAAAGAATTGCTGTCAGCCATTTTGGACGCCCAACAAGACCCGACGCTGAAAATCAAATTCGGGAAAACCGGGAAAACGGCGGTGGTTCAGGAAGCCACTGGCGTGCGGAAAGTTGAAGATAATAGAGTAGATGTCGCTCCCGAACCGGTTCCCGGCGTCATTGCGGAAATTCCTGTGTTTTTGCCAACTGAAGTCCCCACCACAACTATTAATGAAGCGTCACCTGTTTCTGTTTCTGAGAAACTGGAAATCCCTGAAGGAAATATTGAAGATAATATTGTGCCCACCATTGAAGACCTGAGAGATGTGGCCAGGATTCTGGGCTACATGCCTGAAAGAATTGCAACTTTGAGCAGGTAAAATTTTTCAACTTGCATAAATTAGTATATGGTAAAAGCTCATTATTACAATCAACTTGTGGGGACTGCAGAAAAATTTGTTATGACAAATCCATTTGTCATTCAATCAATTGGACTTATGATTGACTTGAGGATGTTTGATGAACACAATTTTCATTTTATTTCAACAGGGCAGAATTGTTGGACCTGATTTCAAAGGATCCAGCTCCACAGCCAGGAAAAGACCTTGCTGAAATGACACAACCCATTCTGGACACAACTGTTTTTGCAGACAGAATACCCACAACAACATCAATCCCATTGACAACAGTTTCATCTCCAGATGCAGACACAGAATCACAATCTATTTTTGAAGCTAATGCAGTGGAAAAGGCCTTGGTTGAATCCTTGTTGAGCAATTCCAGTTCTGGACAGGACATTGAGTCTCTATTGGTTACCATTTTACAGTTCATTGAAAATGGTAATTCAATTCCTTCAAATCTGGTGGTTGAACTTCCTTCTGGTCCAGGGAAGCCAGCACAGGTGCTGTTTTCTTCTTCAGGACCAGCTGAAACCAAAGAGTGAGTATTAACATTTGAGTATGCAGTTGTCATAATTGTCTAGGATATTATTGTAGTGATTGAAGAATGCTTGCACAAACCAATCATAAAATTTCAAATTTTGTTTGTGCAATATGGGTAGTGTAATTGTGCACCTACTATATACAAGTATTGGAGAAAGCTGCAGTCTTTTTTTAATGAGATGTCCTACATTGGATTTACTGTATCTGACAGGTTTTTATTGCATTGTTGTAAATGTTTTCAAATTGTGTAAGATGGGCACATTAAAAATTCATTTGATTCCTTGAACAAGTAATACAGATTCATCCCTTCTCAAAATTATCTAATAATTTATTGGCATGTGGTAATTGAGGAATTTTGAACATTATAGGTTTTGCACTAGTATTAAATAGTAATACTGTATAATGTGAGCCAATCATTTAGAACAGTTTTCCCCAACCTATGGTCCATTGCAAAAAAAATTGTGTTGATCAGTGTGAACATTTTTTCAACATAATCAATTCATCAGAGTTGCAATAAGGTGTGTTGTCCTAATGTGGAATTTTGGCAAGATGATGGCATTTGTAAATATCTGATGAGATGTAAAAGTTGACTTTCCTCCCAATAACTTTTCAGACAAATTATCACTAATCAGCTGAGATTAATTGTTCTAATTTTTCATTCTGAGACTTCTCTCTTCAAGCCCAACTTTTTAATTTTCAAATTTTGACTATGCCAGCTTCACTGGGTCTCAACTTCATTTTTTGAAATGAAGTAAAAACTTTTTAATACTGTACTTGCCATCAACTCTTCCAAACAAAACTTGCTTGAGTCTGCAAAATTTTTTTGAAACTTTGCTAGTGCGCAGCAAATTTTTGGGAAATTTGCTGGTTCACAAACAATTTTATTGAAATTTACCAGTCTATGGTCACAAGAAGTTTGGGCAACACTGATTTATATATAGGGAGGAAATTATTGTTACAACCTAGCTTTGTAACGGTGCTAAAAAAAATTTCATGGAAAAATTCAACAACAAAAACCTTCAGCTATTGAACAAGGACCTCAAAGATGAATGTTTTTTAAGCAAGTATTTGTCATAACTATATGTTTTGCAAGAAGATTCTACAATATATGAATGAATGAACAGAACACTTTATTTGCTGCTTTTTAGCGTTCACAAGGTTCACTCAAGATTTCCACAACCAAACCCCCCTTATTCCCACCCAACCCAAGTCCACTCAATGAGATTTTAATTATTTCAGAGCAGGAAAGCACAAATTTCTAACAAAAATAAAAGAAAATACAATACAAAATGAAATACAATTGGACATCTGACATGTACACATACACCCATTCATTCCCTGACATTGGTAACAAAATATATGTAAAAAATTAATTTAAAGCACACGGTCTTCAGCTTGTTTCTGTATGAGGTTTAGTTGAATGAACAAATTACAGAGAATCTTTGATGCGAAATCATATAAAGCCAACAGTTTATCTTGATCCTTTAAGATTTCAAAAAGGGTCTCTTATTGGTTGAATTCCAATGCATCTAAATTGAAAATATATGTGCAGGGTGGAAACCAGCAGTGTTGCTGAGGCACAAACCCAGCAGGTGGTGACAGAGGAACCAGCAATACTATTCCAGGAAACTGAACCAGTGCCCAGCAGCCTGTTGGCCTCCCAGCCACAGACAGTCCAGCAAGGAGGGTTCAACCAGCAGTCCATCCAACTCCAGGGCCAGATGAGACAACAGGCAGAGCTGCTGAGAGTGGCCCAGCTTCACCAGCAGGGCCAGCTGCGACAACAAGAGGCCCTGCTACATCTGGCTCATGCTCAGCAAGGGTTAGCTTTGGACAAAAATGCTGCCAAGAATCGGGCTGATCAACTTGACCAGATGAGAACACAGCAGGATTTGAATTTCAGGCATTTGGGGACCTTTGGACAAGCGCAGGACCAGATTCTCCAGGCAATCAACTTGCAGCAGCAACAACAACAACAACAACAACAACAGGGACGAAATCTTCAGCAGCAGCAGTTTCAACAACAACAACAGTTTCAACAACAGTTCCAACAACCACAACAGTTTCAACAACCACAACAGTTTCAACAAGCACAACAGTTTCAGCAACCACAACAGTTTCAACAGACAGCATTGGCAGCTTCACCACAGCAGAGCTCTGCTCAAAACAAAGCATTTGACAGTGTCATCAATGATGTGTTCCACTTCCTCCAGGTTTGGTATTTGCTGTTTATATTCAATTTTTTGATTCTTTGTTATGCCAGAGATTATGAAACATATGGTTATTTTTCGATTTAGAAAGTCTTCAAAACTTTTGACACAAGATATTATGAAAGATGTGGTTATTTTAACATTGAAAAATTCTTCAAAAGCTTTGATTCAGGCTACTCATAAACCCAATAGCATTGCTGTGTCTTCTTGTAATCCATTTAACATTGTTCAAACAGAAATTCCCTGTACATTGTTTGGAATGTATGATTGGTTTTCAAGAAAATTACAGTTTTAATTAAATGGAGAACTGATGGAAGTCAGTTATCTGCTGCACAAGGAGGCATAATTAAAGATTTGTCTGTGCTCCAAATGCAGTTTATTTGTCCTTCCCATGAAATTTATCAAATATAATAATTAACTTTGACATCCAGAATAAATTTATTGTTGTCAATGTCCAGATATAAAAAAAGGTATCCTACTGCATTTGAAATTTAAAAAAGGGAAATCACAGTGGGAAAATTAAGGTAGATTTATTGAGCTTCGAATGGAGAATTTCATAGCATGAGAGGGAAAAATGATTCCAAGAGTCAATATTCAGTAGTGTTGTGAATATAGTCAACCCCTCCACATTGGACTCAATTTGTGCAAAAGCCTCTAGCCTGTTATTTGAACAGTCTGTTATGGAAATTCAATTACTACAAAATTAAAATTTTGACTTTTTACCATTAATTTCACACAAACCCAAAACAATTAGGTGGGAGGAAAAACTGCCTCCAGGGGTGGTCTGTTATGCAGAAATCCCTTAGGAAAGAGGTCTGTTAGGCAGGGGTTGACTGTACAGTGGGTCTCATTACTTCCCTGATTATTTCAGAATTTCATATTCAGAGTAAGTAACTCAGATGAACTGACTGCTATACACTTGGCAAATTTTCTTGTCAAAATGCTTGGATAGAATTGTTGGATTGCTGTTTTGCTCAGCAAGAGACCACAAGTTACAAAAAAAATATAGTGGTACATTTTGTTACATTCTCTATAGCCATGAAAAATTATGAATTTTACAACTTTAAACTGCTCAGATAAAACCAATTTGATGTTGATCAATTTCTATCTCACAAGTTCATAATACAGTAATGAGTTACTATTATGCACAGTTCATTCTAGATTCTTTTTGTAATGTCCTGATATGGAGAATTCCGTATGATTGGAAATATAATTTAATATGAATCAATTTTAATGTAAGAAACACATTGCACAATGCATAATATCAAGGATCTCAAGCAGTTTTTTACACAATTATTCCCTTAGGAGTTAGGAACTGTGCCAGTGTCAGTATTTGGATTGTAAGGACATAGGGTCGGCAGAACGAATTTTAATATTGGCGAGGATAACAATTTAATTGTCTCCAGTTTTTGGATATACTGTAGTCTCATTTTTGTGTTCTTAAATTTTTTTTTCTTTTTAGCAAGAGCTGAAGACTCAGAAGGTTCTGGAGGCACCTCCAACTGTCATCCAAACAACCACGACCACCTTAAGGCCCCAGGCAATAATCCAACCTTTCCAACCAGCCCAAGCAATCTCTCCAGGAGACCAGGAACTGCTGCAGATTCTTCAGAATCATTTCAGCAATGTTCCTCAGCAACAGCAAGCAAACATAATTGCTCCAGTCATTCAACAAACACCAGTAACCCTCCCACCTGTGCCCACTCAAACACTTTCACAGCAGAGAAGTCAACAAATTGCAGTTCAACAACCACAAATTGGTGGAAGGATTCCAATTGATGAATTCACCAGGGTGTCAATTTTTGCGGATCCCACTGGGAAACTTCATTTGCAAATTGACAGAGGCACTGGACATGCACCACCAGCCATCACACCAATGCAAGCTGAAACGGTTAGTGGGGATTTAAAATACCTTCAAATCACAAATAACGTCAAGTACAATGTAGAAAACATTGCATTCAATCTTGTCTTGCAATTCAACCAACTCAACATGTTACTCTATCAGTCCAGCAATGGATTAGGGTTAAATTTCATGGCACTACCTGTGATGTATGTTGCATGTAATGTTGCACCCAATTATTTGCTTGACATATATGACTTGACTCATTACAGTTTGCTTGATCCCTGAATGAATTGACAGATTTTTTCCACTTGTCCAGTATAAGTCAATTCAATCAAGTTCTGCACAGGATTTGACCATCTTGAGTGTGGAAATTGGTGCACACTGGGTATATGTTTGTAATTCTACACAGTGACCCTGCTGTGCACCTGAAGTGTACCAAAGTTCTTCTGTTGCACATGCGTATCCCTAATGTGCACCAATTGTGTGTTCACACCAGGATTACTCAGGGTCACATTTGTAAACAAATAAGTTACACCAAGGTTACAGTTGGTGCATTTGTGTGATACTCCTGTTCTGTCACATTTGTGCACCAAATGTAGCCCTGGAATGGTAGCAAAATTTTTGCTACAGGAGTGCACACTTGTAACCCCAGAATATCCCATATGCACCAGTTGTGACCCGGGTGTGCATCTACTGTGGAGCCACAGCAAAAATAGCTCCCCTTTTGGGCATGTAATTATGATCTTGCAAATTTGTCAAAACATTCAATCAAATTTAACACCTAAAATTGTTGAATGAATGTATTAACTTCAATGTCCACAATATTTAAAATCAAATTCCCACAGGTCCAAACTGAAGAACTAGTTTTGCAATTTGGAGGGGCCAAAGTGCGAGTGGACTTAGACGGAGTTCAAGCCTTCGCCCCCAACTCCACCAACATCACGGCGAATTCCACGTCTCGCAACCTAGATGTCGCCGCCGGATCAGCCCCGCAACACTTCCGCAACCCCGACGAACCCCTCATCACCATCACACCTGCGGAATTCACGCGAAACCTCCTCATTTTCTACGACATGCAAGAACGGGTCAAGAAAATATCCACGGCAGGTCAAACCCCTTCGTTGTCTTCGACCCAATTCGGGGCCCTGGCATCTGCCCAACTCTTTTCGCCAACTGCTGAGCAATTACGACAACAAGAGCTGTTGAATCAGCAGAAGCAACAACAACAACAGCTTCAGTTGACAGCTAGGCAAGCGCAGGAATTGGCTGCTAACTCTAAATCAGCCCTTTCAGTGGCCCCGTTGAACCACAATGAGTTGAGGGCCCTGGCCCTGGTGCTGGGCCACCCTGTGAACAATGTTCAGGCCATGAACAAGTCTGAGTTGGAGAGGCTTTTGTCCAAAGACATCCTGTTGTTGTCCTCGCAAGCACCCAGACAGGCAGTGCTTTAAGAAAATTTAAAAAAAAGCATTTTTATTTGGGAGTTGGCCAAATGTTGTTGACTTTGGCTAATTATTCAGTGGAAGGTTTTCATTCGCTGCTTTTGTGGAGAAGAAAAATGTGTCATTTTATTGTGCTATAAAAAAAAAAATTGATCACCACAAACTCAAGACTCACTTTTCTCCAAATTCACAAGCAAAATATATACAGTCATTCTTAATGTCATTCAAATTTCTCATGCGATGGAATAAACTAAAGATTGCTCTTGTGTGATTGCGAATCTTTGAGATGAAGATATGAGGTTCGCAAAGATGGGTATTTTTGAAAAAACAAAATTGGTAAAATCAAGTGTATATTTTTCGGAGTTCATATGCGAGTGATTTGTGGCTTCTCTTGTTTTTTTTTAGTGAGAATAAATGAAAGGGTTTCCTTATTGCAGCCTATGAGGCATACCCTGAACCTGTTTTTTTTCCTTTGCAGCATGTATCCTAATGAACCAGAAAAAAGCAAATCAAAGAAGGCACTTATAATTGCAAATTCAATACAGTCAACCCCCGCCTAACAGACCTCTGCCATGAGGGATTCTTGCCAAACCAACCACCTTTGGAGGCAGTTTTTCCTCCTGCCTAATGGACAAAATCCACCCAAAAGACTTCTGTCAGTGTAACATTAATGGTAAAAGGTAAAAATGTTCAGAGAATTTGCATAACAAGCTTTTAACATAACAGACTAGTCTGTTGAACAAAGTTAGTCTGTTCAGTCTGATGTGCAGTGGTTGACTGGATTGGGCTTGAAAGAAAATAAATTCATCAAGTGATTGATCCTCTCAAACAAATTGCTAAATTGAGAAGGAATGAAAAATCCCACGTTGTCCTGTTAAAATTTTCAAGATATTTATATAGAAGCAATCTGATGGTGCCAAGCAGCACCGGATGGGTATCATGGGAAATACAGTGGCCCCCCGCTTAACAGACCTCCCGTGTAAGGGATTTTCGCCAAACAGACCAGCTTTGCAAGCAGTTTTTCCTCCGACCCAACAGACAAAATCCGCCTAACAGACTTCTTTTGGTTTGAAATTAGTGTTGAAAATTGAAATTTTTAATAATTTATGTAATTGAATTCATGTAAAGGACTTTTTGTCCAACAGACTCATCCCTTGCACAAAGCAAGTCCATTAGACAGGGGTTGACTGTATCTTGAAATGTTTTGAAAAATTGTCATGATCAGGACTGATGATTACATGTTCAAGGTCCACCATTAGTCTGAAATACTGTATTTTACTTGCAAAATTTTTTTTGTCAACAATAGGAAACTACAGACAGAGATATGAGCATAAGAAAGGTACTGTATATATAGGCTATCTCCACAATTTTGTCTGTTATACAACAATTTTCTCATTGTAAAACGTTTTTGTTGGTTCACTAAGCGCCTCTACAGTCTACAGCTTCTACACATATTATGGAGGTTTGAAATAATTTCACCTATCACAAATACGCACAACAAAGTTCTCTCTACAGCAGATTTTGTTAGAATGTGATTGCATCTGTTTTAAAGTGGATGTTATGTACATTGAACAGTGTTTGTTGGTATGCCTGATTTTGGATACACACTAAATGTCTGATTGGAAGTAAGCAGCACTTTTCTATGCTATGAAGAAAGAAGAAATGAAATAGATGCACAACAATCAATGGATATAGAGAGCCTTTAATGAATACTGAGGACTCATACTCTCCTTCATCAATAAAGGTAACACAATATGGAACTACTTCATTGGCAAGTGAAAGGTGAATACCATGTTTCTCCCAAAGTAAGACTTGGTCTCAAATAAACTCCACTTCCCAACGCATGGGTAAAGTTTGATAACCAGAATTGAACCCAAATTGAACTAGGAATTTAATAAAAACTCAACTTTAATGACCTGAAAGATCTTGAATGCTCCAAACTTTAAAGCAATGCTACTGTTTTCTAAAATGTTTGGTGCAATTTCCATCAATAACTTTCTTTCCCAATTTTTTAAGCAACTGGACTATGTTTCTTTTTAATCTTTGGGATGAAGGTGGGGAGGGGGTTTAGGATTCGTGAACATTGTTTGAACCTTGTGAATGCAAAAAAGTGGAAAATGATTTTTTTTTCAACAATCAATCAATATTTCATAGAAGCAACAAATACATGACCTTCAAAAATGATATTGGATAATTTGTTGTGGATCAAGCAGTAAAAATATATTTTGGTTTTAAAATGCAATATCTTTGAAGGCATTATACACACTTGATGTGATTTTAGCAATCTTCAGGTGACTGTTGACTGTTGCTGGGTAAGACATTTCTAAAATATCTTCAACTTGGAAAATAAATAAGAATTAACTACTTCTTGGAAAATAAGTAATATGCATTATTCAGTAACCTGGCTTATTCCAGAGGGTTTGAAGTGAGTTGAACAGAAATACATTTCACTTCCCAACACATGGGCAAAGTTTCATCACCAGGAAACTATCATATATGTAAAAGCTCCTCATTCTTCAACTACCCAGGAATCAAAAAAGGTAGAGATTATCTGTATATTACTACTCAACTAGTGCTGATTCAGAGATCGATAATATGGGTCTTACTTTTGGAGAAACACTTGACACCCAGTCAATAAAATCATCGTCATAATTCCTCGAATATTTGCATTGGAACCAGGTGTCGCGAAAATATACAACATGCCCAATTTTTTTCAATTATTCCTTTCCTTCAAAAAGTAACTTCGTTATCGTCATCAAACACGATCCGCGTCGGGGTGAGAGCCATTACCGTCGGCAATAACTCGTCGTCATCGTCGCCGCCGTCGCTGACACTGCTCGGCTGGTACACGAGTGTCGGGGTCGGGGTTCGATTGGAACCCGAACTGCGTCTGGAATCGATGCCCAGCTGGACCGAGGCAGCAGCGGAAGACGCGACCGAGTCCCGACGGGTCGGGTCTTCTGGGGAACCCGAGTCTGGCTGATGTGGATGATGATGATGATGATGAGGGCCAGCAGCCCGAGGCGACGGGTTATTCCCGGGCTTTGTCCGGGGTGACGGGGTGCGGGAGGATCTGGGCGGGGCAACTGGGGGCGTGTCCAGGGCGCAGAAGGTGTCTTCGTCTTCAGTGCTCACCAGCTTCAGGAGGTTGGTTTTCCGCAGCATACCCTGTTTAAAAAATGAAATCAAAGCATGAATTGATTGATATTACTGCGCACTTTCTTTTCTCATGCCCAGCATTCAACAGCGCCAGAAATGAGCTTGTTAAAGATTTGGCACTCTTGGAATTCAATGAAAAAACTCATTCCAAAATCTTGAAGGACCAAGATCAACTGGTAACATTATACAAGTTGTCATCAAAGATTCTCTTCCAATTTTTTAATCAACTAAATCTTATCTGTGAGAACAGGCTGAACAACTTGTGCTTTAATTTGGATTCAGAAATTGCCTTTTGCTACAATTTTATCACTGATATTTTCTTTTTTGTATTGGGGAGGGGAAGAAAGTGTATGCATTTACATCAGCTGTGCAGTAGTAAATTTTAGAATGCATTTTCTGTCTTTCTTATATCCATGTAAAGCCCATTTCCCTATTTTCCATTCTGATGTGATGAAATGTGTTTGGATGAATATGGATGGGGAGGGGGTAGAGGTTTGGATGTGGGAACATTGCTTGAACCTTGTGAACGCTGAAAAGTGGAAAATAAAGCTTGCTGATCAATCCATCAGTAAAGTACAATATAAAGAAGTCTTCTCAATGGGGGCATTTTGTGAAAATTCCTGTATGCAAATGAGTGGAACAGACTGAAATCAAGTAACGTCAAAAACCTGTGATTGAGGAACATTTTCAAATACTTCTTGCAGAAGATAAATTTAGAAGGTTTCTTTACTTAAATTTAAGTCTTCTGTTAAGCTGGCTCAAAGAATTGAAACAAATTGCATGTTTCTTAATTGTGTGTCTCTTTTATCTCTAAAGCACAGGATGTCCCACAAAAGGTCAAGAATACCAGGGAAAGAAGGCACAGCCTCATTTATTTTATTTTATTTACACCGCGTAGAGGTTGCGGAAAGAAAGGGGTTGGTTGTGCCATGCGCATTTCAAAGCTTTGCAATTTAAAAGATATTTTGCAGGAATGCGTTTTAAGGAAAAACCATGCATGTTGTCAAATTGTATTTTCAGACAAAAAAGATAGCAAACATCGCAATCCAACTTTTAAGAGGTCCAACAAACTTTTATCTTTATTATTTGCAGAGTTATGAGCTTTGGTATTTTGCAAATTGTGATTACGCCAAGTGCAGAGCTTTTTGATTCATTTGGTTTTGTCTTTGTTTCTTGATTGAAATCTTGTTTTTGATTCCAAAACTGTGCACAAGTTTTTAATCTGATTGAAGTTTTCTTATTGAGTGTGGCCTAGGAAAATGCATGAGTCTCTTTCAAATATCCAAGTGGTATAGACGTTTTTTTCTTTCTGGTGCATCTACCCTGAAAAAATCACCATTAATGCTATAACACCAACAAACTGCATAATTGTTTGTAAGCTCAGTTATTTCTTTCATCTGGGTGAAGTTGCTTATTTTAAAGTTGAGAAAATCCCCAACAAATACTGTATGTCATATTTGTCAATTTTGATTGATGCAGCACATCTTGGAAGTGAAGGGCTGCAAAAATTTGAAATCCAGGTCAAATAGTTTATAATTTCAAGAGCTTCCATTTTCTGGCTGTATCCATATTTTAAATCAAGACGTTCCAAATCTGAAAGGATGTCTTCAATGTTTAGTAAAAATAAAATAAAATGAAACCCGAAATAATTGAAAGAGAGACTTGGAAATTGAAGGGCGGAGTTTCCGGGTCATCAATTTGCTGGGAATTGCATGGAGTGACTGGCAACGTTTTGGGGCGTTTGTAAACCGCGTTCCGGGATGCCTCTGA